ACCTCTGCAGGAAGTGTGCCAACGACGTCTTCCAGGTGAGGGCAACTGGTGTACGAGGGGACCTCTCGGGGGCCAGAGAGGCCAGTCATTATAAAGCTACATTTCCCCTATGTGATCTTCCTGTGTATTAGTGAGAGTGGTTTTTCCCATGAAGGCACAGCTCCATCTCCTGTGTCATCCCTGAAAAGGGTGTGACACGCCACCTGTGCTTGAGCTGGGCTGAGTGTTTCGTTGTTAAAAGGATGTTTCTTAACAAATAGGTTCAGTGTTTCAGGGTGATTTTTAGAAAGGAAATCAGTATTTAAGCCTGACTCTACCCCGGTGTTTTGATAAGACTGATTTTAAAAAAGGAACTCATTTTTTTTTTCTGAGACTGAATATAGGGAAGCTTAGTGTTGTGATAGGACAGATTTTAACAGGGGGACTCTGTGGCTTTGTAAAGCTGATTTTAACAGGTGAGCTAAGCTGTTTAGTCAGGCTGATTTTAACAGGGAAATCAGCATTTTGTACTGCTGATTTTAACAGAGGAGCTCACTGCTTTCGTAGGGCTGACTAACAGTGTCTCAAGAAAGAAGAGCTCAATCTTCTAGTGCTCTCCTGGGAGAGAGGATAAATAGGGCCTGTCTCTCTGGCTCTGCGTGAGAGACAAGAAACAAAATAAGCACAGCTGTCTTTTTAATCACTTGGAACTCAATGTAATTCATCAAGTTTGAAAACTCTGTCTTACTAATATGAAAAAAATCCATTTAATTTTATTGATTTAATATTTGATCATAAAAGACTGTAGTCAGTCTCTTTCTGAGCATAGGCCCCAGAACCCCCCATACACAACTGTCAAACCCGAAAGCCATATCCACCTAAACTTTCTCAAAGAATTCAAGCTTAAATATACATACCTAACACCCCACCACCCAAAAAAAACTTTAGGATAAAAGTTTATGGTAATTTCAAATTCACACATCCATAAAAGCTTTATAGACAAAAAAACCTCTTCACACACCCATGTAGTTGTACTACCACTACTGTGGTTGTACTGTCATAATCACTGGTATAGTTACAAATGTCAAAGGTGAATGTGTTTGTTTGTCTGAAACCAAAGGAAAGGGTTGGGAATGGGGGTGGGAAGATGGGTGGTGCAATAGGAGGCCAGTGGGATGAGGACTGTTAACTGAAGTCAGTCCTCTTTCAAATTATGAAAAGTCATTTGCTTCTTTTTTTGTTCATCACATGGTCTTATCCAGAGTGGCTTACATGGCTTACCATTATTTTTACATGTTACCCATTTATACAGCTGGATATTTACTCTGCAATTTGGGTTGTGTAATCTACCCAATGATACAACAGCAGTGGCCTGCCTGGGCCACCTGCTCAGTCACCACTAAAGAGTAGGATGGGGAGGTGTGGTTACATTGGGAAAGGGTTGTAATCATTTAAAGTTGATGTCTGATTTTGAACATGTGAATCATTCCTGTGTGTGGTTGGTAGAAACTTTTTGCTACTTGCATGTAGCACCCCCAGACTCCCGACTCCAGCCATTCCATTCAAAGTGGTTTTTCACATAGTTTCACAATAGTAAGAACACACTGCAATCGTGGTGTCACTCGATCCAGTACGAGGTGTTTCGGACAGATGCTCAACAATCTAGCTGAGATTCCACCCTAACCACTCCGTTTCAAACTGCTCTTAATCACAAAGGAAAGAAGCAGCTTTCTCGTTACTCTTAAAGAAACGCTGATAGAAGTTTACACATTTCGATTTTCTGTACGAAGACGTATTTTGATGTTGCCAGAGCGTTTACGTTTTTCCTTATGTGTCTGTTTAAAGCATTCGGTTTTAGAAAATATTCATGCTCTGTCAGAAGTGGGATTCGAACCCACGCCTCCAGGGGAGACTGCGACCTGAACGCAGCGCCTTAGACCGCTCGGCCATCCTGACAACGCTGATGAATCTGTTGAGGTTTACAAAATTGACACACGTTTATATAAAAAACTACGCGAATATATTATTTCGGTGACAAACAATTTGCAACGCGCCCTGCTACTGTAGTTTGACACGTATCGTTTGCAAAAGCTTTCGTTTTAGTTGCACAATTTACGTCATTGCATCCGAGTTTGGAGAGCACATGTTCTACCCTTTAAACAGAAAGGAAGACACGAGATTTCAAAGTCGTTAAAAACGTACTCTTGTCCGTTGTCACTTGTTCTGAGTGCCTAAGTGGGAGAGTTAATGCACGGTACTTTCGAGTTTTACGTGGTGACAGTTAACACCTCATCAGCCTTTACCTAATTGAGATCCTGTTAGATCTGCAAAAAATGGCATGCAATGACTGTCTCTCGTCTTGGGGGCGGCTGCAGTTTCTGAATTGTATACATGCTAATCTCTGCCCTTATGCCGTTCTCGCCTGAAAGAGGCACAGTTTGTGATCTTGTTAGTGCCGGTGTACCGCTCATTTCTCCCCTCTGTCCCTTACCCAGGCGTCCAATCCGTTGTGGCAGTCACGGGGGTCCACTTCGGTGTCCACCGGGGGGCGCTTCCGCTGCCCGTCGTGCAGGCACGAGGTGGTCCTGGACCGGCATGGCGTGTACGGCCTGCAGAGGAACCTGCTGGTGGAGAACATCATCGACATTTACAAGCAGGAGTCCACCAGGTGGGCCCTCCTCTCTCGCCCCCATGTGTCCATGAATACTTCTCAATCCCTGTGACCAAGTGCTGCGCAAAGGCAGGTTTGCTTAGCGCGAAACAAGCAAAACAAATGTGCACAGAAGCTATCAGCTGAATGACAGAGTCAAGCTGTGGACTTTTTTGTTTATCTCTTTATCAGTGCTTTGCTTGTCTTATTACAATCAGTGCTTACTGTATAAAGCAAAGAGGCAAAGGTTAATCATTCTTGTCTGCAATATACAGTGAGTGTGAAAATATAAAACTGACCCCTGAACTAGATACCTCAATGTTGCTAGGCTCTGAAAGAAATTTGTTGCTGCGTCATGTAAACAAGCTGGGGAAAAGCAGCCTTAGTCCAAAGCAATGGCTTCTTTCCTGTGTCACTAAATATAACAAGAACACTTCATCCCCACAGCCATCAACAATAAATCACATGTCTGTTCATGACAGCCTCACCTACCTGGAGGTAGCATGTGCCTGAGATTTGATTATGGTGGCAGTTCATTTTTCAGTTTTTCTCCCTCAAGATCATCTATCCTTGTTGCAGCGCTACCTGAGAGGGCATGTCACCGACTGTTTAATGAAAATGAAATGAGCCTCGATTTGAGATGACATCTGCTGTAGTTTGAAATTACTCAGAGTGTCCTAAAAGGCACTTTTCATTGGACCATTCTGGTGTTTTTTCTATCAATATTCATAGCCTCATGTGCTCAGTGCCCCCAACCCCCCCACCACCACCACCACCACACACGCACACACGCACACACACACATTCCTCAGCTCTCTCACACGTCCTGGTAAGAGCTTCTGTGGGATAGTGTACAGTAGATGGATTATTATGTCCTGGGTGAGGATTTTGCCTGGGTGTGATGATTTCTGGTGGGGTTTTGGAGTCAGACAGTATTCAGAGCCTGTTCAGGCTAGTGTCTCAGTATCTGTGTAGACTCATGCTTGTAGACCACGGTATTTGTTACAAAGAATATATTGAATACATTTACATTTATACAAGAATACATTTAATTGCATCCCTTAGTGTGGAAGCTGTTTAGGAGAACATCTGATATAGTGACTCTGAAAGCTAATGGAATGTACCTCCAAGTGTTTATTTCCAGATAACAGCAAACTCCTACTATCTGTGGCCCTTTCAAATGACCTCTAGATGGCACTCTTTTATTATCTTGTGGCATGGATCTAGGAGACTTGGCAGGCCTGATGCATTTCTCACAGTATTACTAAATTATCTGCTGATGTTTACCTCAATAACATATTACATTTCTATAATAATTTCTATAATAGTTACTAATCTTTCACTGTGTAGAGAATAGAAATCAGGCCCATTCAATGACTAGTGCAGGGTGACATAATTGTACAGCTGGTGCAGGGTGACAAAACATAACAAAACAAAAAAGAATGTACCCATATGCCATCTAAATGCTCCCAACTCCCAACTTTATTGTGGGCAACATTGCAAACTGCTGGAGACCATGTAGGTCGAACCGTGGAGCGCTTAAATATTGGTTAGCATGGACATTCTTTTTTCATCTGTTTTACTGCTAGTCTTTCACGCCATAACACAATGTGACAGATTTGCCCATGTTGACTGGACTACGGCATTGTGAACAGATGTACTCCCAGGCAGCTCCACACTAAGTGTTCTCATCGCCTGAAAAACAAGGCCATGATGTTCATGTCAGCTCATAGATCAGAGAGAGAGAGAGATTCCTCAGGAAGTTGCCCACGCTTGATTACGTATACATGACATAAATATTTGTTAAGTCGTAGATCGCACCGTTGAATTTCAAGGACGAAACAATGTCATATGATGTCTTAAAGGAGACTCAAGTGCTATCCTGCCTGTCTATCACACTGGCATCGAGCGGGTGAAAGTAATGGTTCCTGTGAGGGCTGTTAGTGGTTACCGATGGATGGGGGTGAGAGTGGCCATTTGAGATGACAATGTATCAACAAATGCGGGGGAGGGAATTTAACCTGCTGCCCTTTTTCTCCCTTAAGACCCATCCATCCCAAGTCTGAGCAGCAGCTGATGTGTGAGGAGCACCATGAGGAGAAGATCAACATCTACTGCCTGACGTGCGAGACGCCCACCTGTTCCATGTGCAAAGTGTTCGGCGCACACAAGGACTGCGAGGTGGCACCCCTTCAGAATGTCTACAAGAGACAGAAGGTACACGGGCCTCTGCGGGGCCAGAAACATAGGACCCCCGCTGTTACAGAAACAAAAGGGATATCTATAATCTTAAGTGTGGTGATCTTTCGGAACATGCTTGGCATTGTTTATTTTGCATCACACCTTTGCTCATTCGACTACTAAAATTGGCAGCACAGTGGCTCAGTGGCTAGCACTGTTGCCTCACAGCAAAAAGGTCCAGGGTTCAAATCCCAGCTGTCCCAGGTCCTTTCTGTGTGGAGTTTGCATGTTCTCCCTGTGTTTGTGTGGGTTTCTGCCGGCCACTCCGGTTTCCTCCCACCATCAAAAGACATGCATGTTAGGGTCAGTGCCCTTGTGGCTGCCCACTGCTCTAGCTCCTGGTGTGTGTGTGTGTGTGTGCTCACCGCTCACTGTGTGTGCAGGATGGGTCGAACGCAGAGGACGAATTTCCCCATGAGGGATCAATAAAATGTACAATTATGACGATTATGAATAAAATTGGTCCTGGGTCCAAGAGAAAGTGCACCACCTGCTGGTGAAAATGCTCACCATGTTGTCAAATCTGGTGGTGATTCAGAGTATCAGAAAGCAATGGTTATGCATTGTATTTTTAACTACTTCATATTTCCAAAATCAGGTGATAAATGAGACAACAATGACAAAGTATCAATTTAATAGCATATAGCAGATGACATCATTATATTATTGTATCATTGTCATACCCTCAATCATATCCTCAAACTCTCCTAAATTGTCTTGCGTGAACCTGCATTATACAACTGTGAATCCTAAGTGATCTGAGAAGACAGTGACAGAGCTATTTAGAGGAGATGGCAGAGCTTTGTGTGGGCTATCCCTGGGTGTGCGTGGACCTTTGCCTCAGAGCAGCGGAGCGTGCTGTCAGATGTGCTGCAAGCTCTGGCAGGCGTGCAGCCACCTGCAGGGCTCTCACACAGAGCGGGGTCGCACGGCACCTCCCGATCCCCATCAACACCCCTCTCACACACCACGGCAGCGCAAACCCGGCACGCTATCTATGGGCATGCCACCGGAAACCCCCCTCCCTCCACAAAAATACACACACAGATACACACAAATACACACACACACACACACACACACACACACACACACACAGGCACCTTACATTGACTGCATACACACCGGAACACCATACACTCACTCAGGCACAAAAATACTGCCCCCTAACACAGATACACACAAATACACACACACACACACACACTACACACACAGACACACAGACACACACACACACGCACACAGGCACCTTACATTGACTGCCCCCTAACACACATACACACATACACACACATACACACGCACACAGGCACCTTACATTGACTGCCCCCCTAACACACACACACACACACCCCACCCCCCATCTGGACTCTGCCTCTTGCCGCATATGTGTGCTGTGCCAAGTCCATTGGCACCTCCAAATGCTGAAGGTCCCGTGGTTTCATGCTCAGACCTGAAGTCACACCTCACGTGTTTTATTTGTGGAACAACTGAAAAGTCATAACTAGGCTCATGGCATGATGCCTTGTATATGCCTGTGAAAGAAACCATCACTTATTTCCTATCCCTGCACAAAAAGGGTTAGCTAGGGTTAGCTTTCTTTTTAAATAATCCCAGTCGACTGATGCAAGCCTACAGTATTGTAGGTAGCTTTCTAATCATGCCCACCTCCCAGGATGTGTAAATTCCTCTGAAGACATGTGAGTCATTCATATCAATAGCATCCGAGTCAGGTGGTGATCTGGTCCCTGCACAGATTCCATTGTGTTAGACACTGCTGCGATCGCCCAACTGCTACCCAAGTGAACAGTGACTAATATCATTAGCGTCTCCCACAATAAGCAGCTGAGCGCTGGGCGGACACCATATGTTATTTTATTATGAGTAACATTACCCCAACTGAAGGTCACCATTCACCATGGGGCAAAGTGGCCCTTTTGTTTTTGAAACAGTAGATGAGTTAGCCACTCGAATGCATATTGCTAAACACATCACTTTTTTAACTCCATGTTTACTATAACGTTTCCAGTTATTATTCAGGCATCTGATCTATGAAGCACAAAATTAGTGTTATCCATCATTTTTTGGTTAATGGATTTGGCATGAAATTCACCCTTCAGAAAGATCCACATTTGTCTGTTTCAGGACAGATCTCAGGGTAGACTATTTCATTAATAACACACAGACTGCAAATAGAGATGGAACTAGTTGATGTTCTCTCGCTCTGGTCCACTTTTTAATAGATATGCTGTGTTATAAAAAGAATGAACATCCACCATTAAGTTGTTTTAAAACCACAATAATTTCACACAGTATTTGGGTTCATATTCCCAGCTCTGTTTTTAATGCAACAGGAGTATTAACAGTTAATTAGTGTATCTGATTTTTCTCCCAAGACTCTGAGTCTGTGGAATTGTGTCGGCAAACCCGAGTGTATATCAATGTATGCATTTTTCGTGTTGTGTTGTTTTCAGACAGAGCTGAGTGATGGCATAGCCATGCTGGTGGCTGGTAATGACAGGATCCAGGCACTGATTTCACAGTTAGAGGACATCTGCAAAACTATTGAGGTGAGAGCAGTGTCACTGACGGGCTCCTTCAGATCTGAAGATGAAGTTTGTAATTGTGGATAACAAGATCCACAAAAGACACAGGAGCAACTAGTACACCACTATGGTTCTGTGATGTTTTCCTGAACTGTTCTTAGACTAGTCAGAGTGATTAATGCAAGGATGCTTACAGCGTGTGAAGTTGTGGGGTATGTCTGAGGATGTCAGTCATCCCTGCTTTGTTGGGTTTCATTGCGTCCCCTCCGCTTGTGACCGCAGGATAACGGGCGGCGGCAGAAGCAGCACCTGTGCGACAAGTTCGACGCGCTCTATGCCATCCTGGAGGAGCGGAAGAAGGAGCTGGTGCAGGCCGTCAGCCGGGAGCAGGACGAGAAGCTGGGCCACGTCCGCACCCTCATCCGTCGCCACGGCGACCACCTTGAGGGCGCAGTCAAGCTGGTGGAGGCTGCCATACAGTCCATGGAGGAGCCGCAGATGGCCGTCTTCCTGCAGGTACAGAACTCAGGGCTATGACCCTACAGCCATGCGAGGATTATACTGTGTCAGCTGTACATGGTCTCAGAACACACATATATGATTGGGCCATAGTGCTGAAGCAGCCTGTCATCCTATACAAACCTCTCATCAGAGAGGGGCCAGAAAGAGGTCCCTAATATTGTAAACACCCTGAAGATGGTGCAGTGGAGGACAGGTGAATACCCTTCCTTGATTTGTAGTCTCTCTTCCTGTTTTATAGGAAGCTCACAATCGACAGTCTATGAGGAGACCCAGGGCATTTGGCTCTCACACTTAAATTCACACTGAGGTGGAATAATAAGCAGGGAGCTGATGAATGTGGCTGGTGACGGAATGCGCTGCCTTTGAAAGGCAGCATGGTGGTGGTTTGCTCTCCCCTGTCACGGGCACAGCTGTCTGCGCGCTGATTGACACTTCTCCCCATCAGTATACTGTACTGTAAGCATTCTGGAGGCTTTGCGGCGGATCTCAGGGGCTGATGTATTGATTTACAATCCACCCCTGCTGGCACTCCAGACTGCCTCCCTTGAGTCTGCTCACCCTGGCCGTCAATACTCACTCTGGACCAGAGCCAGCCCACATGAAGTCAGTCTCCGCAGACAGCCGGCTCTTAAACCCCCTGGATCAAGGAAATAGATCGTGCGGACACACCGTGTTCTGCACATTTCCCCCTATAAAGCCGCAGATTGAATGACGGGTCTTTGAATTTTTTTACACACTTTGTGTTGTTAATGTGAGCCCTCTGGTAGCAGATTTACTACCCAGTAATAAGTGTTTATGTAGCAGGTATGGGTTTAGCTCACACCTGTGGCCTTGTGCCTAACAAGTGACTGAGGAGATTAAGGGGAGGTGCCAAGCTCAAAATCAAATGACATGCACTGAAAAGACAGGCCTGAGATCCTCTCAGTTCAAGCCACGAATATGATAGGGAATGCTATTTTTACCCTGAAGGATGTTTTATGAAGTCATTAAATGAAATTGCAACAAATGAGACCTTGTTCAAATGTTTGCTCATTGGCTTGTGTTTTATCATCCACAGAGCACCAAGGATGTACTCAAGAAGTAAGAGAAATACTTCATTGCTGCAGGATTATTCCTGTGTTTGCGTGTTTGATGAGACATTGTCTGTCCTTTTGGTTTTATTTTATCTTCCGCTGTTTTAGTTTGTGTTTTTTCCATATCATTTCTTCTGCATGGAAAGCACTTACAGTTGGATGTTTGTGGTGTAATATTGCTTGTTTTACACCACAATTCCTCCAGGAAATGAATGAAGTGAAACAGAATTAACCCGATTATGACAAAACAATGAATACATTCCAAACTGGAATGCGTGAAAGGAGACCCTGGACATAGTTCGCCATTATCTTTCTGCTTTGTTTGCTTTTGTGTTGACTGCTGCTTAATGAGACTCACCTGCAGAGATATTGAGCAGTGCAACCTGCCCCGCATCACGACTGACCGCGGGGACAAGGAGCCTGCCATCCATCCCCGTCCGTCACCTTTTATTTGTCCAAGTGGAGGCGTGACATCACCGCTGTGCCCTTGACAGGATCACGGACACCGCCAAGGCCTCCAGCATCGAGCGGACGGAGCCCGGGTACGAGAGCATGGGCCACTTCATCATAAACACCGATGACGTGGCCGACATGCTGAGAACTATTGACTTCCAGACGGGTAGGGACACCTGAGATCACCCTCTACATCGGTGACATCATTGGCTTTTTTTTTACTTTTCTTTTTTCGTCATTTCTTTTCATTTTGGCCAGCTTTACTGAAAGTGCCGGGGCTGTGTGCTTTTACAGGTTCCCAGGGTGAGGAGGGGGATGAGGCTTACCTGCTGGAGGAGGGCGCAGAAGAGCAGGCAGCCCAGCCCAGTGTGGGGGCAGAGCCTGGGAGACTCTAACCCGCCTGGACCTCCTCGAGGTCAGTCCCTCTAGGACGAAACACGCCCGATGCAAAGCTTTTAGGCGTGGAGTTTTGCTGTGTGTACTCTACTCAGTTCACCATTTGCACCATTGTACAATCAAGCTGGTAAGACTGGAGATTCTGGTTTTAAAGCAGTGTAGGGTTATGGAGAAAACATAGTTATATTTCTTTTGGTGTAGTAGTTCTGA